TTTCAATGACTTTAGACAAGTAAATGATTCTTGGTACAAAATTGTGCTTTTTTGGTATTTATGGCAAAAAAAAAGGTGTTTTAACTCTGAGAGCACCCAATTCCTGGTGCTCCATTTAAGTATTTAAACTAAGATTCTTCTAATAGGGTTGAGTCTTGTTGTGAACAGCTAGTGAAATATTAACATGGAGAGCAAGTTTTATTAGCATTTGCTAACTTGAACACAAATTGTTATATAGACTACAAAGAGCTACAGAAAAAATGTACAGCAAGATTATTTCACTAAATCAACATTTTATTTAGTGTCAAAGCATCTTAACTGAGTTGTATAAGTAATTTTGTAATTTTAGAAGTAACATTTCTAGAAAATATTATCAATTTTATCAGTTCTGGAAATAATATTGAAGGAATTAATTCTGAATTAATTTATTGAAGCATTTATGTAATTTATATCCACTTAGGTATAAAACTTTTGTAAGAAAGATAACACTTTTATTGCATTATAATTTCATATTTTACAGGAGTCATAATGCAAACTCATAAGCATAAATATATACATGATGCTACGAAATGGCAATGTAGCCACTAAAAGATTTAAAACATAAAATTAGAATTTAACAGGCAAAATACTTAATATGGCTTTTAATGGAAAATAACTGTTTAGAAATGATTTGTTATTGCCCCATTCTAGTCATTCCCCATCAAGTGAACATAAAATTATGATCACCATTTAAAATGGCAAATGTTATCTAAGCCAAAGTTATATATGCATTTTGTAGCATGTATGCAATATGATTTGTGGACTTCCTTAAATATACATATGTACATCATATATACAGATATACAGTACACAGACAGTTCTGTTTTAATACCCCTGAACATCTTGATTAAAACTATTACAATTTTTCTATTATAAAACTACTTGAAAAGTTGGCATAACTTCTTGGTATTGAAGTTCAATCCTACAGAATTAAAAAAAAAAAAAGCAACAAAATGTTGGTTATAAATACATTCTTTACAAAAAAATTGAATAGTGGTCCTGCACTCATAATTTATATTACAGTGAAAACATTTTATTCATTTAAAGGTATTTATATCTTGTTGTCCTTGGTTTCTGTGTGAAATAGAGGAAGTTAATAGTGAGAATATTGTAGGCAGGCCTATTTGTTAGGTTTTTCTAGGTGTTCATTTTTGTGTAAGTTCCAATTCTCTTCTTTTGAGTTGTTGTTGATTTCTATTTGCCTTGTATTACTGCTGCTGCTGCTTCTTTTGGTGTTCTGGGAACACTGGGTGACTTTACTTCTAGGAACAGGAAGAAAAGATTTAACTCTTGAAGCACCCAACTCAGTCTTTGATTTACTGTTGCTGCATTCAGTAGTTTGATGGCTGCTGAGAGGACAGACTTCCTGTAAGAGAAGAGAAGCCAAACAAGTTTATCACATTTGCCATTGCTGCTGTCAGTGCTGTCACCGGCTTCTCCTGTTATGAGCCCTACCCCTGCCTCCTCTTTGTCTCTGAGCAAATGTGCAGGAGTTTCTCTCTAAAACTATAGATTCTCATAAAAAATTAAAAGAAAATGGAGAGGAGAAGCTGAATAATTAATTTCCTATAGGCTTACTGCATGATTTTCATTAATCCCTTCCTGGTGTTACAAAATTCCTAAATATAGGAGTCAGTGAATCAAGTGCTAAAGCATCGATCTCCTTACTAACAGAAACTTCGCTCAATTACAGGCATGAGGAAATCACCAAATTGGAGTAGTCCAATTTGTGGGTGGCTCTACAAACAAACTGTCATCTTGGGTAAGTTACCTAACTTTTCTACTTTCATGTCTTAAAAATGAACTATTAATAATCAAATAATTGGGAAGCATAAGAAAAACTGGCATAGAGCAGAAAACATAAGAGAAGCATTCCTTCCCTAGCAGAGTCTGCATTCTAGTGCATCTATGATTAGGTGGCTCAAGATCTTCCATACTTGGAAACTGCATGTTCTCATTTCTCCACTGTTTCAGAACTCCTAAGATTACCTGGTCAATGTCTCTCATTTTGCCCACAAAGAATCTGACAGCTGGATAGGTAAGATGATTTGCCCATAGTGAACAAGTGGTGAAGCTGAGACAGACAGGACCTCAGGTCTCCCAACTTTCACTCAAGGTGTTTTCCCCGATATTGCATTAAATCCTGCAAACTAACATGATATGACTCCTACTAAGTGAGCTGCTCTGAATGAATGCCTCTGAAGGAGCTGACCTTCACAACTTCCCCTCTCCAAAAGTAATAATGCAGCTAAACAGCCATATAACCATTAAAAGATTTAAAAGAAAATGAAAATGTAACAGGCAAAATTTAGCTTTAGCTGTCAGTTGCATTCTCCTGGGAATCTTCTTACAGGAGTTGCTGTCAACCTTGACCATGACATTGGAATCACCTTGAAGCTTTAAGAGTCATTGGCTGGGCCCTATTCCCAGAGATTCAGGTTTCATAGTTCTGGGGTGTGGCATGGACATACGATTTTTAAAAATCTTTCTAATATGCAGCCAAATTTGAGAACCCCTAGCTTAATTCCTCCATATCCTTTTTCTCCATTGACCAATTAAATCAGGGGTCCCTAGCCTCCAGGCTGTGGACCAGTCCATGGCTGTTAAGAACTGGCCCGCACAGCAGGAGGTGAGCCAGCATTACCACCTGAGCTCCACTACCTGTCAGGTCAGTAGCATTAGATTCTCACAGGAGTGCAAACCCTGTTGTGAACTGTGCAAGTGAGGGATCTAGGTGGCCCACTCCTTGTGATAATCTAATGCCTGATGATCTGAAGGGGAACAGTTTCATCTGGAAACCATACCTTCTACCCAGATCCATGGAAAAATGTCCTCCATGAAACCAGTCCCCTGTGCCAAAATGGTTGGGACTGCTGTCTTAAAAGGCACCATTTTTCTTACCTTCTATGTCACACATTTGATGATCTTTCCCTTCAGAGTATTTCAGTGATCTCTAATTACGTGTCTCCCAAAGTTCTTTCTTTAGCCCTCATTTATCTCCTGCATCTAAGAACTGATTTTCACCCTACTAACTCACCTCTATGTCCAGCCACACTCCAAACTCTTTCTAAAACTGTATTTATTGCATTTCTTCAATATAACTTACTTCCTGAAGCCTTTCCTCTTGTCTCATTACTGGTTAATGCTGCTCTCCTAGTGAATTTAGCAGGAAACCCTCAGTTACCATCTTTAGCATCTACCTCTCTCTCTCCTCCTCACCAGCCTAATCCAGTGTTACCCACAAAAATGGGCAGAGAATTATGGTGGTATTGGTGCAAATAGGAAGGTAAGTGATAATTAAGTCCTCACTAACTGCAGAACAAGTCCCAAGCTTTTAAGCATGTCACTAAAGTTCTTTTAAAGTTTGGCTCCAATCCCCTTTAAGTCCCATTTTTCCTTTATTTCCTGCTATTAAAGTCCTAATAATTCTTTGAAGCCCAACACAACATGCCCATTAAACTTCCCCCAAATCACCAAAATGACATCTCTTGGTGTCAGATTTTCAGACTCAACTAATCTTAAAAGGAACAGCAATATAACTCTAATATACCCTTGGCTAGAGGTTTGGGGAAACATAAAAGCACTGACACATCAAATATGTAATAATAAAGAAGGGACAAATATGGGGTCCAGAACACCTGCATATGCAGGGAAAGGAAAATGAGAAGTTGAGACTGCAAGAAGCTAGCTTAGAAAGGCAAGAGCTTCCTGACAAAACAAAAAACAGATGGGCTCAGTTTTAACGACATCTAAGGAAGCCTGGAAAAAGGCTGAGCCTGCATCTGGTGAGGACCCACCTCCGAGTCCATCCTTGTCACCTCCATGTGTGGTTGATGGTAGGTTAAGGGTGAATCTATTTAGTATGTTCTGCTTTTGTTTTATAAAGATGCTAATGCTTTCAAGTTACCAGAAAGAAAATGAGAAGCTAAATTGCTTGTCATGAGTTGGATGGTGAGAGAGTCACATACTGAGACATACTGTAAAAATGGTGCAGGTATCATGATCCAATCTCATTTCTCCTAACAAGAAATTACTGTTAAGTCTGAAAAGGGGACTTAGTCATGGGCTTACTAAGGCCAATTACAACTTGTAACTTGGTCAAAACCACCAGAAAATTCAACATACACAGTATTCAGAAAACATGAAATACAGCATTATAATAAGAACAACAGCTAGTTGGCATACAGAATCTGGTGGAGGGTTGGTTGTTTAATTTTGCCATTACTGTCAAATTCCTCCTGGCTAATGCCATGGCTCAGAGGAAGGAAAGGAGACATACACTGTGTTCTAGTCTCTGTACTTGCAACAAGATGGAAGGGGAGTGCACCTTTAAGTCTGAGGCAGGAAATGTCGGCATGAAATACAGTACTGTGAAGTACCCAGAACAACTGAAAAATGTAGTTGGGTCAGTGCCTGGTAGTATGAGGCTAGAATGTGAGGAGGCAGGATGAGAACATGGAGAATCACTTGGGCTTAGTGTGAGCCACAGCAGTTCTAGGCCAGGCGTGCAGAATAGAGCAAGTGACCGATGCACTGCATCCTGCCTGAAAAGTGTTCCTGACACCCTGGAAGTCAAGTCTAGGAGGTAGCGGAATTTTGGAGCAGGAGAGTTAAGAGTGTTTAATGCTTCCTGGGATAAAACCTCCACATTCTGTGTATTAAATGTATAACGTTTACTGTCTGCATTGCTGTGCATGTTAAAGAAAAACTAATTCGTAGAGGAAGGCACTGACCTAAAGTAAGTTTTATTTAGCCTTTAAGAATTATCGTTAAAGCAATTCATTCCGTGTAATTCATTCAATATACAGCATCTGCTAGAAGCTAAGAGGATACTATAAGTTCTCTAAATGGGAAGCTAGGGGGCAGGAGGAAAAGAAAAATATATAAGGAAGATGGCAGTGGGGGTGGATCTTTAAAGAGGCACAGGACTGACAGATGGAAAGAGAGGGTTCTGTAGGGAGGAGTAGGGGGTGGGGGAGTAGTAAATTACATGTAAAAAGAAACTTGTAAAAAACAAGCTACATGAAGGCATATCAACCCCTCTAAAGATATATTTGGAAAGAAAAAAATGGGTGGAAAATGAAGATGACAGATCAGAGCTATGTTTTAGAGTAGTGGGTCTCAACCCTGGCTGCACATAAGAATCACCAGGGAGCTGTAAGAAACCCATTGTCCAAGCTCTGAGGATTAAAAAAAAAGTGGATTTTATCATGCAACCAAAGATGTGAACTTGTGCATTAGGAGGATTTACATGAAAGGAAAACGTTTACTAGCATTTGTTCTTCCTATTGCTTTATGTATATTGTTTCTAATTTAGAAGGCCAGCTAAATGCCACTTGATTCATAAACCCAATTATACTCCCTTACTGTTAGAGCAGTGAGGAGTTATATTGTGGCAAATAATAATAAAGATAATTTATTTTTGTTTTCCAACAGATAATGATGGTTGCAGGCCCCCTCTCCAATGGAGGCATTGCCAGCCTTCTAACCATGAAGGAGAAAGTGAGCGCAACTAACCCAGGGAGGTAAGAACCTTTAAATGGAGATACTTCCTGATAACAGAAGAAACCGGGCATCTAACCAAGAAACACCATCTGAGTAGAAGAGAAAAGGAACGAGCCAGCCAAGGTTTCAGAAGGCTGCCAACAGTACCACTTTGCCCTCTGCTGGCGGTTTCTGAGAAACACATCTAGCTTTTCAGGAAGAGTAGGAGACAGTGGTCCTAATCCCCACATCAAATTGCACATTTAAATAATAACATAGTGTGTGGGGTTTTGTTTGTTTGTTTGTTTTTGGTATAAGAGTCCAGATAGTATAAAAGTACCCGCTTGAAAAAAGATTTTTTAAACAAAGTTGCCCAGAGCTTTGATTTTCAGTACTATTATTTTGTGGACAATACCTTATTAGCAACCTAATAAGGGGGCCTGCAACCATCATTATCTGTTGGAAAACAAAAATGAGTTATCTTTATTATTATTTGACACAATATAACTCCTCACTGCTCTAACAGTAAGGGAACATATTAGCAACCTAATATGGTCACGTGACGCAGAAGTAGGGGTACGACAATGTTTCTCCATTAGACATTTCAACAGCCAGTCTCTACCAGTCAACAACATTTTTACACAACAAAGTGATCTGGCCCTGTGGGGAAGGTGGCTCACTGTTCCTCTTCCTAGATCCTCCTGGCCCCTTCCACTGACCATGTTCCACAAGGAATCCTAAATTCTTAGGTCCTAGAGACTGACCTCCAGTCAAGCACAGCTCAGGGCAAGCCATAAATCCAGGGGGAGTTGAGGCTCTAAAGATGGTAAAGGGATGGGCCCTGGACAAAGTGTTTTCCAACCAGAATGCTCAGTGCTGACTCCAGGTCACCTCCTTAGGTCATCCTCCAGATTTTGCTGGGCTTCTAAATTGTTCCCAATTGAACAAAAAAAGGGCAGACATTATGGTAGAGTGAGCTTGAAAGCCACGCATTTTTTCACAGGATATCATGTTAAATGTTTTATATTAGGCGCCCTCCCCCAACCACCACGCAGATTCCCACACCTGCTCCCCACAATGCATGCAGCTCAAATAGCTCCACATGTAAAAGCCAGGATCAAAACCTAACGAAGCAGTGAGGGGGCAGGGCTGTGGGTGATCAGATAAGGCTTAATAACTTAATAGTCTCACTGTGCTTACTTTATAATCCTGCTATCTGCACCCCACCCTCCCACCCACACACAGGTCTTTGTAAGCCACGCTGGGAGTAGATGAGAACAGGATGCGAATGGCAATCAATCAACATGGTTTGGTGAACAAACCATATATTACAAAGTGCTTCTGTGAAGTCTGCATCGTCACAACATAACTAATGGGTGAGATGTTTTTTATTGTTTCTGCTCACCTGGGAATACCAGGCTGTGCTAGCTCTTGCCATTTATTAACCAATTGATAATGGTTCAGTGCTGTAGTCATGGAAGCTATTTCAAAAGGTTACGGAAGTCTATTGGAATCCTGGTTCTTCTAGTTGCCATTCAGACTTGTTTTCAAAGTCGCATTGAAATGTAATGCATGTTATGAAAAAATCAAGATGAGGTAAAATTGAGATTTTTTTTGCCATGTATAAGACCTTTATGTTATCACTCATTGCTTTGTTATAATTAACTCCAATTTTCTAAAATGCAGGGAATCTTAAAAATACATGTGAAAAAAATGGAACCACCAAGATGACCAAAGTTTTGTTAAAGGAGTACCCACCTCATCTACAATTTTGTTGTCTGTGTTTTCAGTTAACTTGTGGCCTGGAAATATACAATTCCTAAGTCTGCAGGCCATTCTAAGTAGCATGATGATATCCTGCACCATCCTACTCTGTCCTGCCCAGGATGTGAATCATCTTATCCATGCTATCTCCAGTACCCAGTTTAGCCACTGGGTTACTGGATTGAAGAAACATAGTATATATAAACTTTGGTACTATGTTGGGTTCAGGCATCACCTGAAGATAAGGCAGAACTACTGTATTTCTAGTTTTGTCATATACAAATGAAACAAACAAACGAACAAAA